CTGATCTAGTTGCACTTTGCAATGAGGCAGCCTTGATTTGTCTACGGCATTATGCTAGCTTTAAGAAGACTTATGATTCTTGTTCTGATTATATAACCGGGAAACCTGTTCTGAGGAATGGTGCAACAAACTCAATAGATCATTTGGATGAGTCAACTTCATCTACTTCAGATATGTTGGCCGCCAGTTGTGTATTACCTTCTTGCATGGTAACTTGTGAAACTACGGATATAATTCCTGATAGTGGTAAAGAAGAGCAGATTTTGAAAGTAAGCTTTGAAGATTTTCAGAAGGCCAGGATGAAAATAAGACCTAGTGCCATGAGAGAGGTATGATTGATGCCATGAGTAGGATTTTTTGCGAACTTGTTTTTACAAAAGTATATTATCTTACCCAAGATTTGTCTTATTTGGCTTATTTTGGTATTCCCTAATTTTTTGCTAATCGCTTTCAAGTTTCATCATAGAATGCATTGTCTTAGTGTTGCCAACAGGCATATCCTGGCTCATTAAAATTACTTAAACAAGGAATGCCATCTCTTGTCACCAGCCCCGTTCAACTGTGATCTGTTGTTAGCTGCAATCAGTTTAGTCACTTATATCTATGGAATTTCTCTTAAATAAAATTATATTCCTTTTGTATTCTCTTTATCTACACTTTATTTGATACAAACTATTGAAGTTGAGGAACTTATGATCACAATGCTTTGGTGAGATCTGATGTTCTGTTCATGTAACGTTGTTTATAACATGATTAGATATGCACAGATGAGAATTTTCTACATCAAAATTTTTATGAAAAGGGATTGTGAAGCATAATACTTTTGTTATCAAATTTTTTATGCTTAGGTAATCCTTGAGGTTCCAAAAGTTAATTGGGAAGATGTTGGCGGTCAAAAGGAGGTCAAAGCTCAATTGATGGAAGCAGTTGAATGGCCACAGAAACACCATGATGCATTCGACCGTATTGGAACTCGCCCTCCTACAGGTGTATTGATGTTTGGGCCTCCAGGTTGTAGTAAAACCCTCATGGCACGTGCAGTTGCTTCTGAAGCAGGGTTGAACTTTCTAGCAGTCAAGGGTCCTGAACTCTTCAGCAAATGGGTTGGTGAATCTGAGAAGGCCGTCAGATCATTATTTGCAAAAGCAAGGGTCAATGCCCCATCAATAGTATTTTTTGATGAAATAGACAGTCTTGCTGTAACTCGTGGGAAGGAAAGTGATGGTGTTTCAGTGTCAGATAGGGTCATGAGTCAACTTCTTGTTGAGTTAGATGGTTAGTGATGAATCTTGGGCAGTGGAAATGTGAATTATTGCTTATATACATATTGCTTAATATGTAAGATAAATTAGGGCTCATTCAGCAGGCTCCAAAGCATGTTGATTTGATATTTGTTGGCCAGAAAATTATTATTTTTTTTAAAAACCAGTTAGTTTTGAAGTTTGGATTGGGATCATATTTTTCTTTTGACAATCTTTATTTGTGTCAGGTCTACATCAAAGAGTTAATGTCACTGTCATAGCTGCTACAAATAGGCCAGACAAGATTGACCCTGCCCTTTTAAGGCCAGGTACCCTCTCTCTTATGTTGTTCTCCAAGTGTTCTATGCCCATTCAGATACATGATGGTGGATGAGTTTTATTAACAGCATAAGTTTTAAAATGACTGACGTTAAACATTTACAGGACGCTTTGACCGTCTGCTATATGTTGGACCTCCAAATGAGGCGGATAGGGAAGAGATATTTCGCATTCATCTACGTAAAATCCCATGCGGTTCTGATGTTAGCCTTAGAGAACTAGCTCTACTCACAGATGGTTGTACTGGGGCTGACATATCATTGATATGTCGTGAGGCAGCTGTTGCAGCAATTGAGGTGTGTCAATCAACATGACTTTTTGATGGATGTGTTGTCACTTTTTGCAAAGTAAAATTTGTTTTGATGTTATGTTGCCAGGAGAGCCTTGATGCTTCAGTTATAACAATGAAGCATTTAAAGATGGCAATCAAACAGATCCAGCCATCAGATGTTCACTCCTACCAAAAGCTGTCAACAAAATTTCAAAGGGCCGTCCACTGCAGTGATATAAAGGATGAATTCAATCCTATGCAGCGCGACATTAAATCTACTCACTTCAACATTTGGTAAACGTGTCTTGTTCCATCCTGTGATAATTAGAATTCATTTGTGTTTTTGGGGTCCACAAGGTGGAATTAGAAATTGAAAATGGTTTTGCTGAGGTCAGCTGAAAACTGATTTTTACAGCTGAAAACTAAATTATCTTGTTTTTCTTTTAATGCCTCTGAATAAGCAGGAAGTTCATAAAATCTTGCACGTTGTTCCTCTATCAGACTCCAGCTTCCATCTTCAATTTAAGAACTGCTCGAAGTAGTTAACTACAGGCCTCAGAGTACTATTATGTTTGTCATATTCCTCCCATGACTGGGTTCATGTTCATTAATTGAGGATCATCTGCACTGCAAACTCTAGATTGAGCCTTTATTAGGTATGAACGCAGTATGATGTTTGTTATATTCCTGAGGCTGGGTCTACTTGCTTATGGAGCACAAATATGAGGATCAATGTGTACACCAACAGAAAAAGGGTGCAATTGCTGAAATATGTGCTGAAAACCCCCTTGACTAAATCATGGACAGCCTTTCCGGTGAAAGATGAATATATTTTTAGAATGATTACTAACGTGGTTTTGCTTGCTTCAAAGGTTTATTACTTTTGAAGGTGAGAGAAGCAAGGACGTTGTCTGAGGAAACGGTCACTCAAATCTGTGTCTTTTTCAGCAGGCCAATTTTCTAAAGGTCTCGACCACATAGGTTTACACACAAAATAATAAATTATGGAGTTTGTTGATAAAACTTACATAGCTTGAGGAATATGTTGTAAATTAGCTGAGAGCAACGCATATACAGATTACCCTTGTTTTGGCCAATTCAATGCGTCATAACAATTGTAGATTAAATTTTTTTACTAGCAATTTCTTTAGCAAATTGGTCAAAAATTTCTTAGCTGAAAAGTTGATTTTATTAACTTTTGTAGATGCTGCATTATTGACACATCATTAGATTATTATTATCATTATTAGTCTTCTTTGTTGGATGGCTGCAACGGGCTCACTGAATCTACTCATTGAAATGTACAAGTGATTTTTTTCGTACGATTTTTTAATGAGAATATGTTTCTCCGCTCAAAATTACATCTATACCCCGTTTCACGTCAGTCATGAATGATGCATACTTTTTGGTATGAGATTTTTTTGTTTTGGTCAAAGGGTTTTTCGGGCACGATAGTTATTTTCAGTGAGATTTGAATTTCTAAACTGCTAGCACATTTTGTCTATAATTTCAGCTCGCCAACGAGTTAGACCTGAATAGTTTGTCTGTGATGATTGGATAAACATCACGAATTTAAGATTCTTTACCATTTGGTAGTTTCTTAGGCTGTCAAATTTTCATGTGAATACTAAACAGTCTAGCAATAACACGACGCCACAAACTTTTGTCAGCTCGTTACTTTTCTGTCCTACTGTAAAATACTATTTAACTAACAAAAGTTATACTTTTATTTGTCACATATCTGTAAGTAAAAAAATCCGCCGTAAAGTTGTTCCGTTTTTTTTCATTTTACATCATTGTAATATTTTATTTTTACAAACCCAGAAATCACCATAAAAAGGATATATAAATAAATATATATATATAACAGTATGTGAAAATGTTCGTTTTTGTATTTTGTTGGATTTGATCTCCGAGGTCCAATAATATTGTTCCAATAAAATAGGATGCGTATTTTTTATTTAAATGTTAAAGATTGAGAAATTTAGGTATTGTTGAGACGAAGTTATTGAAGTGGGAAATTTTATATTAGGGAAAGACGAAGAGGAGATATGAAGACAGGGTGTTCGATATTTCTAATTGTAGACATGTAAATAGTTTTGGATTGGTGGGTATTTTTGATGAATATTCCTGGTAGAGAAAAGAGGGAGAAACAAGTGTAGCACCAGAAGAGAAGAATAGTATAGGAGGGCATTGTGTGATAAATGCCAAAACATTAATGATAGAAGAGATACACCTGTCATGATATTGGTATTTTGTTGAAACATCAAACATGGGTATCACATGGGGGTACCCTTATCATATTACTTTGATTCAATTGGTCAGTCAGTACTGTTGGCAATACTGCACGAGGAAACATGCCTTTCTAGGGACAATAATTGCACCATACCCTTTTACTAAGAATAGGTAGACAAAACCCCCCAACCCTTCATGCCTCTTGTGTTTCCCCCTCACCTTCTTTTGTGTAGTGCTGCAAATGCAATGCAACACACTACAATCTATGACTCACTCAGTGACTCATCATGAGTGATTAGGGTATAAATCCATTTCTGCAACAACACAGGTATCCCACTTCCAACAGTTCCCTTCTGGGCATTTCATGCTTTCTGTTCCAACTCCAAACTAAACATACTTTCTCACTTTTCTTTCATTATTAATTTCCTCCAGGGCCCTAGCACTAACCTTTTCCAATTATTTTATATACCTCATCCTCTTTTTCTAATCCATCTAAATAAATAAATAAATAAATAATTAATTAATTAATTAAATAACCTCACCCGTCAATTTCCCTAACCTTGTGTTGTTTCTGCATATATCCCTATTCCCTAATTCATTCACGTTCAGTCAAATCGAATTTTAACTTTGAAAGCGGAGACATCGTGAGAGGCAAACCAACACCAGCTCAACTTATTCCCTATCTACCAAACAGGAAAGAAATTCCGAAAAACCCAACAATCTTAATCTTTGCATCTCTCTCTCTCTCTCCACATTCCTTCCCAGATCAAAAATCTTTCCCATACCATACCCGTACATTTCATTCCCACTTCTCCCCCACCTCTCTCCCCACTCCCTGCATTCCACGCGCCACTCTCTCCCGCCCCAACCTTCAAACCCCTCATTTCTTTTTAAAACCTTTCACACCTGCCAAATAAAGGACACTTTTTTTAAAATATCACATTTAAGAATTGCACCGTGGACAAGGGAGGCGCGTTTGCCCCACGCCCCGGTGGCGAAAAAAAAGTAAGAAAAATACTGGAGCGATCTTGTAACACTCACTCTCAAGTAAGAAGACCCCCAAATCCCGGAAAAATAAAAATCATAAGGAAAAGCATCAACAACAGTGCCCACAATAAAAAGCTGAAAAGAGAGAGAGAAAAACAAGATCCACCTCGAACCTCTCTCCACACTCCACCCTTCGTCACCACCACCACCACTCTCACACCCTCTAATCGAATTCTTCTCCCAAAACGAATCAAATCCCAATCTTCGCCATCCCATCCACACCCTTTCCTTAAACCGTTAAATTTCCAAACAACAAACAAGAACAAGAATTTCCTCCAATTCGAGAAATGAGGGAAGAGGATTCCAATTGGTTTTCGCGATGGGAAGAGGAGCTTCCTCCGCCAGAGGAACTCATGCCCCTATCCCAAACCCTAATCACGCCCGATCTAGCCATGGCTTTCGACATCAGAAACCCCCACACCTCCACCAACCCCAACACCGCCCAACAGCATCAACACCAACAGCAGCCACCGCAACAACAACAACAACAGCAACAACCTTCCAACCCTTCATCGCTCCCCAACCCCCAGCAACCCACCTCCAACGACTTTGCCGACTCCGGCGAGCTCGGCTCCGGCACCGCCGGCGAGGAGCCCGCTCGAACCCTCAAGCGCCCCCGCCTTGTGTGGACCCCGCAGCTCCATAAGCGCTTCGTCGACGCCGTCGCGCACCTCGGCATAAAAAACGCCGTTCCCAAGACCATAATGCAGCTCATGAGCGTCGATGGTTTGACCCGAGAAAACGTGGCCAGCCACTTGCAGAAGTACCGTCTCTATCTCAAACGCATGCAGGGGATTTCCGCCGCCGGACCCGGTGGACCCGGAGGCGGTGCCTCCGGCGCCGTCGCGGACCCCGCCACTGACCACCTCTTCGCCAGCTCCCCGGTGCCGGCGCATTTCCTGCACCCCGCGACGAGGCCTAATTCGGATCATTTCCTTCCGTTTGTGCCGGTGCCGGCGCTCCACCACCACCAGCAGCAACAGCAGCAGCTGGCCGCGGCGGCCCAGTACCATAGGCAGGTGAGCCATTTCGGGTCGCCGCCGAACGGGCACTTCGAGAACCCCTTCATTTCTAGGCCGAATCTTCAGAGGATGGGTGGGGGTGGAGGTGGAGGTGGTCCTGTGCATAACCACCACCCTGTGAGTGGCTATGTGGAGGATATGGAATCTGCTAATGCTGCCTCAGGAGGTAGAAAGGTTCTTACTCTGTTTCCAACTGGGGATGATTGATTGAATGAATATTCATCATATATGATGACGATGATGATCATGATGACGATGGTGATGGTAATAGTACGGTACTCTTTGGTCTTTTGGTATGTGTCACTGTGTCCTTGTTGTATTCTGAATGTGAAGTTTATGTTTGGTTAAGGTCTTAATTGGTATTTTTGTGTTAGGGTTATTGTTAATGAGTTTGGTGTTGCTAATTGGGGGTATTGGAGTCTAGAGTTTAAGTCTGCAGATTCAAAAGCTCCAGCAGTCATGATACTTCTGGTGGGTATGGTGTAATTAATTAATAACCTTGTGGGTACCAATATCCGCCGCTGCTTGGGTTAACTTCTCCGTCAGCTTCAGGTGACTGACATTCATCATGATGTCACTGTTGAGCGGCAATAGTAATGCAACTGCCAGTAATTCTGGGAGACAATCAGTGGTTTCCTGGTGTTGAGGCTTCCTCTGATTCTCTGGGAATTGGTCTCTGGCTGGATGAAATCTGGAGGATCACTGAATGGATGGATTTGTGTTGGTATTCATGGAAAGATTGGCAAAAGATGCCAATTTGGTATTTGTGTCTGCAGGTGGTAGTAAACACGGGTTACACTTTGTAGAAACTAATGGAAGCTAAACTCATTGGCGTGTTTGGTTGTGAATTCTTCGACTAAGTCCGAGAACCTCTATTGCGAAAGACTTGTCTCCTTGGTGTTGAGTTTGTTGTGCTGCGTAGAGGTGAGTTGTACATTGTTTGATTCTATAGAAGACTTGAATGCCTCATGTGAGGCAATCCTTTAATATTCTAATCTTACTGCCGCGTGGGGTCTATATGTTAGATGAACTCAAGTAAATCAGTTTCCATAATTTCTAGGTTTACCTGCTTACGAAAACAATAAGTTCATGTTTACTTAATCATGTAATTCTCATTTGACTGGAATTCTCTGATTTTCTTTTGTACCGGGACTCCTCTGAAGTCTTTTAATTTGATGATTATGTTTTTAGAGACACCAGGGATGACGTTCCAACTGTTCACAAAGATTCTTTTTTTAGTTTGAGTTCATTTCCTATATGATATATGTTATTATATGTGATAAAGGGATGAACATCATGATCTTGCACTCGAAAAATGTATGTATCTATATCCTAGCAGCAGTATGAGTTGAAAAATTTAATAGAAATAGCCACACATTATGGTTCAGACTGACAGTAAGGTCAAGAAGTCTGAAAATTAACAACCAGTTATCTGTCCAATGTATTTTTGGATCATCGTTTCCTCTATATATCTTATCTTAATTGCAGTTTCTCAATGTCAAATTAAAAAAGTGATCTAACAGCGTAGTTTGGTGCGGTCTACGTCACCTTTTAGTTATTCCTTGCATCTTCTCCGGTTTCTAGAGTTTCTTCTTGTGTTAGTAATTTTTCTTGAAATTATTCATGTTTTTAAGGAAAGATGGATTTCGCTTTAGCAAGGACAAGATTATTTTTGCAAAAGCTTATAAACAAATTTACAGTCTGTCATTTCAGGGCTCGCATGAATTTTAATTCCTGTTGTTGTCTATATATTAGTTTTGATTAACAAATGACGCCGCACATATTTGTTATGATGAAGTCGAGCTGTAATGCTTTCTTCATAAACAATGCACCACCACCCAACAACAATGTCCTTTTTGAAGTCAGAGTTGGAAACGTTACAAATTTCTTTCTATCTTCCATGTGAAGAATATCCTTGTCATCTGTAACTAAACTACTGTTTAGTTTTCCCGTTATCGGTAAACAACTTGTAGACATTTATGTGGCATTCTCCTGAGCCACGTATAACGGATTCTTATGGGTGACCTAAATCTTTCAGTACCGAATTCTTTTCGTACGTTGTCTGAAGCATTGTTTTGCCCTGTTTCGGGCTGGTTAGTTTTTTCTTTTCTGAAGAAGAAAAGAGTTATTGCAAAAATTAACTAGAGGAGATTTTATTTGTAAATAGAAGTTAAAGAGAACATAAACATTAAGTCGAAGAAAAAAAAAACTGCAGAGCCAATTAGTACGGTACAGTTTACTACTTTATAAATGGTTTTATGACAATAATGGCATATCACTATCTCTTGTTTTCTTAGTGATCACGTTATTGTCTCTTGTTTTCTTAGCAGCTACGACAGGTACACTAGGTTGTAAAAGTAAAATCCTAATGAAATTTTCATGGGTTTGACATTTGGTGCAATGTAATCGATATTTTTACCTTGAAAGAGAAAAGTTGAACTCCTTATTCAAAGTTTGGTTCCAGGAAGAAAGCAGAGGTTGTACACACATCAGCAGTCACTAAGTTTGTGCGCAGAGCCTTTGTCATTTTGTCCACTTCCAACTAATCAATTGTATGGATGGTGCACTTGGTGCCCGTCAAATCTCTTATGACTAATGTCATCCCAAGACTCAACATGAACTACATTTTTTATACGTAAAAGTGTTCACGGCAACAACCATCTTAATTATTTATTCTTAAGATAAGATAACAACACAATGGAAAGACAGATCTATCCTCTTAGGCCATGACAATGAAAAAAGTGAATATAGTCAATTCTGCTTCAATTTTATTTTTTTTTTGTTTGCTTGTACATGCATATAAGATACCATATTTGTTATTTGCAGTTGCAAAGGAATGGATTAGGTGGGCCATATGTAGAGAAGAAACCAAACAAAAATAAAAATCTTGTGTCTTTGTTTCCTATATTAGTAATGCATTTTTGTATACACTTGACACTTTTTTCAGATAAAACTCACACACAAATCGTAGACGAAACTCATTTAATTGAAGGTTAAATTTGCATCATTCAGTAGAGTTTACGCAAACTAATGAATAATAGTGTGTTGAAAGAAAGATCGTTAAAAGTGAGTCATTTATATATTTCTTTTGTGGCCCAATACATATCTCATATTCAAATAACACAACACAAGGGTGTTACTCCCTCCACCCCCACACGTCTCTTCCTCCACCTCCCCAATTTTCTAAAATGCCAATTATATCCTTCTAAAATGACAATTATATCCTCAAAAGTTAAAATTTTTTATTTTTATTATTTTAATATTTTAATTTATTTAAAACTTCTGATTTACTTCCCTCTGCACCTCTTCCTCTCTTCCATTTTCGTTTACCTTTCTCTCTTCCGTTAAGCTTCTTCTCCACCTATAACAAATTCATATTTTAACAAATTCATATTTTAACAAAATTATTACGTTTAAAAACTAACCATATATAACATTTAAAATTATAAATTTAAATATAAATTACTGTAAATAAAATAAACAAATAAAATAAAAACGAAACGTAAAAGGAACACTGCCTCTGGACGGATGACATCCTTCAACGGATGTCAACATCCGTTGAAGGCAAAACGGATGTCGACATCCGTTTTGCCTTAAACGGATGTCGACATCCGTTTTGCCTTAAACGGATGTTGACATCCGTTCAAGGATGTCATCCGTCCATAGGCAGTGTTCCTTTTACGTTTCGTTTTTATTTTACTACGTTTTGCGGCTCATGCAAGGATTATAGGCTTGGATATTAAAAGGATTATTGGAAGTATGGGAAGGATTTAGGGTTTAGGATTATTGGAAGGATTATGACTACGTACCTGGAGAGGAACCACGACAAGGACACTACACCATAAACGCACTGCACCACGTACTGCACCGAGAACAAGAAGAAGATTGTTTGATAATTCTTTTCACGATCACCAAGCTTTGTAGAAAAATATTTTACTCATACAAGAAACTACGTAGGTTATCAGTGAAATATGTTATAAATGAATAAAATTAAAAAACAACAATTTTAAAAATAAAATTTTACTGAGGGGCAAAATAGTAAAGGAAAGGTGGAGGAAGGGGCAAAATAGTAAAGGGGAGGTGGAGGAAGAGATGTGTGGGGGTGGAGGGAGCAACACCCCACAACACAATTGACTTGTAAGTGGGCCAACCAAATCTTGCCCCATTTTTGTTATTTAATTATGGGCCACAGTGGCTGAGATTTGGGCTCGGTGACGTTAACGTGATGTGGTGGATTCCAGTACAAGGGTCAAAGGAATGGAATAAAATTCAGATCATCTTGCTCCAATAAAAAAAATATGATTTTATAAATTATGTAGAATATAAGTAAGATCAACATAAACAAAAATAATAATAGTCCAACTCACCACCTTTTTCGTTGATCTTATTCAATTTCTTGTTGGTTCAGCAAACCTTATTGGTGAAGAAATGACGTCTATGATTTATATATGAAAGGTGGCAAGATTAATTTCATTGTTGGGGAATAAAACTTTGACCATTTTATATAAATAATTGAAATCAATTTCATCACCTTTATTCGTTGGATTTTGGTATAGAATCTAGAGCTTGGATAAGAAAATAACATTTAGAGAATTTAGAATATTTATATAAATAAATCAATTCAGTTTTTGAAATTTTAGATTATACTTCGTCACACGTGATTTTTCATTTTTATATTGAAATTTCAATATTACATTTACTAAACGTAAAATTGAAAATGAAAATTCTACTGAATATGACTTCATAGATAGTCTTAATATTAGACCATGTTTCGTTATTTGAAAAATAATTTAAATACTTAGTAATTCAAAATACGAAAATACGAATATGTTAAGATTGATAAATTTTATAATCAATTATAATATAATTTACTATTCTTTCCATTTCATAACAATAAAATCACACTAATGATAAATAGTTAGCATAATTAATAGATAATGACATAATTAATAGACAATATGAAATACTTGAAAAAAAAAAGTAGATCATATTATATAAGACATACATTTTTTTTATGGAACTACAAATTATTTAAATGAGAAAAATATAGATTTTGACATTTGTTATTGCTTTTTATGTAAACTATTTCTATCAATTAACATCTTAAGGGGAAACAAAAGAAGAGTTTGTGATGCAATGAATGAAGGTATAAAAAGAATCTCTTTATTTAGATTTGGGATGTTTTCCTTTCTACAAAAAGAATCTTCATTGTAACACAACTTTTGAATAAATTAAAAAAAATCCACTGTGAATATGAGTTTTATAGTATGATTCAACCTTACAGTAATCTTAAATATAATTCAAGTGGGGTGCTACAAATTTTTCTCTCCTATTCATATTTTCTCATTTGATTTTTTTTTAATTCTCAGTTTTTTTTAGTTCTTGTATTGAAATTTTCCCATTCTTTTTCTATAATTAGTCAAACAATTTTCTTATACTTTTTTTATATACTTGGTTTTCTTAATGATTCATTGCTTACATCTCTAAATTGAATTTTAACCTTTTAAAACTATTAATGATTAAAAATAACCTTATGTAAAAGGTTCAAATTTATGTGTTCACATTTAAGGATTAGCCTTAAACATGTTTCCTTTGCAAAAAAGGTACACCTGTTGTGAAAAAAAAAATATTATATCACTATTTAAAACAAAAGTAGTATATACATTTATTTATCACGCATACTAATTATAATTTATATATTAAAAATATTCATGCATTCAACTCTGAAAAAAAATATCTCTTCATACATCAACCTTCTACAGTTATTAATTTTTTTTNTTTTTTAATTCTCAGTTTTTTTTAGTTCTTGTATTGAAATTTTCCCATTCTTTTTCTATAATTAGTCAAACAATTTTCTTATACTTTTTTTATATACTTGGTTTTCTTAATGATTCATTGCTTACATCTCTAAATTGAATTTTAACCTTTTAAAACTATTAATGATTAAAAATAACCTTATGTAAAAGGTTCAAATTTATGTGTTCACATTTAAGGATTAGCCTTAAACATGTTTCCTTTGCAAAAAAGGTACACCTGTTGTGAAAAAAAAAATATTATATCACTATTTAAAACAAAAGTAGTATATACATTTATTTATCACGCATACTAATTATAATTTATATATTAAAAATATTCATGCATTCAACTCTGAAAAAAAATATCTCTTCATACATCAACCTTCTACAGTTATTA